TCAGGCGGTCCTTCAAGTCAGTTATCTCGGAGTTGACTTAGGTGGGGGTCGCAGAGTTGCCAGAGCATCACGACGGACGCGCACTCAGAAAGCCACCGCCTGCAACAAGAAGCTGAGGCGGCACGCCTTCGCTTCGAAGTGCTACGAGGCGACGAAGAAAATTGAGTTCGCAGGGCCTCAAGCAGCTGCGACGTATGCTCATCATGTTCATGGTACGTTTGGGTGGCGGTTGCAGCAGCTCAGGCGGCAGCTTGGTTCAGTATCAGGGGCGCACCAACGAGGGCGTTGTCTCACAACGCTACTCGATGTACGTGCACCTCAGCAAGATCCAGGAGTTCGGCTGCCCTTGTTATGCTTGAACCAATGGCTCAAGACATGGTTTGAATATCCACAGATACGTGCAGGAGTCCGTAGAGTGTGGGACGACGTTGTCAAGCAAGTGCGGAGCTTGGCAATTCATGAGCGAGGTAGATATATTCACGGGCCAATCTCTGCGATCGTCACGTACCTGGTCAACGCAGGTTGGGATCCTCAGTCGCCGTCGCACTGGTGTCGGCCTGATGAGTTCGGTCTCGAGCCTGTCGACTGGATCTTCCATGATAGCAGTATTGATCAGCAGCACGTTGACACGGCAGATTTCTTATTTGATTTTGGGCAGAGTCTTGATCATCAGCAGTGGCGGGACGCCGCCCAACTTCATCATGGGGCCGGCCTGGAGCTCGGGGCTGATAATGATTCCCTTCGACGGCTGCTCACGAGGCTTCGTGCAGGGCCTCACGGCCATCAGCTGGCTGAACTCATGTTGACGATTAGCACAGGAGGTTGTTGGACGCGGACGAGGAAGTTCGAAGCTAAGCTGTGCAAGTCCAATTTGTGTCTTCGGTGCAAGCAGGAGCCCGAGGACATGAAGCATCGAGGTTGGTTATGCAATGCCAATACTAATGCCAAAGCCTTCACCGACTCAGATAAGTTGGTACCAGCAGCCTTGGCACAAGGCGACAGTGAAGCATGTCTGTGGTATCGTGGGTTGATTCCGAGACATATGACGGCTACCCCAGCGCCAGCTATGCAGGAAGACTGGACAGCTGTTGATCTTGAATGCCCACTTGGAGCTGAGTGCCTTGGCAGCGGCACGCTTGCTCAACCTTTACTCATTTTCGGTGATGCGTCAGGTGGTCCCGAGAGTCGGTTTCCATCGCTGAGGAGAGTCGGCCTTGACTTGGTAGTGATGACCGACCCCATCACCATGACCATCGGGCCCAAGATTGCAGGGCCACTAACTGGACGAGTTCAATCTGTACCGAGAGGCGAGCTTCGGTGTTTGGAACTTGCTTTACGGTGGTCAGCAGGGCCGACAGTGTACATTTCAGATAATGAAAATGTTGTGCGTGGATGGCACGCTCAGCAGTATCTCAACCCTGGGAAGAGTGAGATGAGCGGCTTGTGGGCGGAGATCGGAGCTCTGGTTAAGCACAGAGACTTCAGCGAGATCGTCGTTCTGCATGTCAACTCCCACCAGACCGCCCAGGATGTGTGCGAGAAACAGACCCCCGAGTGGATGTTGCGAGGTAATGAAGTGGCTGACGCCATTGCCTCGGGGGCCGCTGAGCGTTGTAGGTTGCCCAGTAGTGTTCGGTCTAGGATCGCGGAGGTGGAGGGGCGCGCTGCTTTGATCAGGCGGAGGCTCCTCAGGGCCACCTTGGAGGCCACGGTCGCCGAGCGTGAGGAAGCGAAGATTTCTGCGCTCGCTCCTGGTGGTCGTGCCTCTTCGGCCCCTGCCCCGCCGCCGCCCTCCCCCGCGGTCGTAGCCAGGTTTAATACAGCTCACACACTCAGTGAATGTGGGTTTAAGTGTTCCACGTGCCGTAGTAGCGGCACGAAGGCCACCCTCCACGAGTGGTTAGAATCCCCTTGCGAGCCTTTAGAACATGTCGACTCTGTGGTGTCTAAGGGGCCAAGACGGAAGCTGCACTTAGCTGGGGGGTGGGCTCACGAATCTCATCGCATGTTGTTTCATCAGTCACTCGGGGTCTGGATCTGTGGGGCTTGCGGGTTTTTCTTCACGGCCAACCTACAAGCGGGGCTCAGGCAAGAGTGTCTTGGTTCTGATTCCCTCAATGATACGAGACGGTCTTATCTGGACCGTTTCCATCGAGGTGTTATTCCCAAGCCTCTAAGTGCAGCCGAACGGGCTGCACGGCGGAAGCATGGGGGGTAGTTTCTTTCTTTCATTGACATCGTCATGTTGCTATTCCTATTCCTATTCCTCCTCCTCCTCCTCCTCCTCCTCCCCCTTCCTCCCTCTCCCGCGTCCTCTGCCGACTGCGCCAACGGGATGTTCGGAGGCAACTATCGGCGGTGGACAAACCTCCCTTTAGTAAACCACCCTTTCGTGAAAAAGGCGTAGGACCGAAACCGACGGACCTGGACCCGCAGAAATAACGGCCGCGACGCCCTCTCGCGAACCGAAAACGGGCAATTCACTAATCGACGTGTCAGGGTAGGAGGTCTATCAACCTCCGAAACTACTGGGAGACCTTCCGTCGGAAGGAGCAGGAAGGATTGAGCCACAGTGGGGGGCTGCTGCGCCAGATTGAGCCGCGGATTTCAAGCGGGATTTAGCGGGATTGAACGAGATGAAGCCGGACTGAGCGGAATTATGCCGATTTAGCCTGGATTTCGGACCAGGGCAAAATCAGAATTCGACCTGCCAGGAAGACCCCCCCCTGCTTTACTGACTGCCTACCAGACCACCCCAACCCAGCCCGAAGACCAGACTTTCGGGTTGGGGGGTACGGGTTCCATATGTGTTTTTGTCAATGTTCCCCGACCCCCCCCCACTGGGAACAGAAGGCAAATTGAGGCCTTCGGGATGGGTTGGGATGTTTTGGTGGGTGGTGATTCACACTAGCGGCACCTCCCGCCACAGGAGGTGGGCGCGGCGGGAGCCATCACCCCGAAAGCACCTGGACGGACACGTTGCCCGAACTGCTGCGACCTCCCGCTTCCTCCTCCTCCTCCCCTTCCTCCTCCTCCTCCTCCTCCTCCTCCTCCTTCTCCCCCTCCCTCTTCCGTCCTCCTCGTCGCTCCTCCCTGCTCGCTCGTCTCCTTCCTCCTCCAGTCTTACTCCTCCTCCTCGCTTCTCCTCCTTGCTCCTCCTCCACCCTCTCCTCCCTCCTGCGGGCGTGGCGGCGGCGCCCTTAGGGTCCCGCTGCGCCTTTACGCTTTGCCTCTGCTGCCACGCACGACGCTAGAGCGTGCAGAGGTCAAAACGGAGCGCAGGCGCTCGGTACGCTCACCCACCTCTTCTGCACGATGATGGGAAGAGTCCAAGGACCCCAAAAAGCTGGACGGGAGGGGAGAGAAGGGTCATCGCTCGCAGCCGGGATCACCTACAAGCCGTGGCGCCCATTTCGCCCGATTATCGTTCTCCTCCACCCGCTTCTCCCTCTGTGCCACGTTCTGCGATGCCGCCCTGGCAGCGAGCGGGGCCAACACGGGCAGGAGCGGACAGCCAAGAGGCAGAGGGCATGGGAACGAGCCTCCGTCCTCCGCCCTCCCTCCCTTCCCACCTGCCCCTTCGCCCCCCAGGAGCCCCTGTGGCTGGGTCTCGGTTGACGCAAAGACGGTCCCCCGTGGGCGCCTCGTGGGCGCCTCGTGCGCTGGGTGCGCGCGCCGAGGCTTCGCGGACTGCCCCGCCCGTGGGCTCCCCGTGAGCGCCTCGTGCGCCGGGAGCGTGCGCCGAGGCTTCGCAGACTGCCCCGCCCTTGGGCGCCTCGTGCGCCAAAGAACTGCTTCCTGAGGCTGGGAATGACGAAACATCACCTCAACCCTCAACCTTTCTCCTCACCGAGCTGCCAGCATTTCATCCTTACCACTCGCCCCGACGCAAACTCCCGAGCTCCACGTGCCTCTGGATTCCCCCCGGCAGACTTCTGGACCCTCAACGGACTCCCTTCTCCCTGCTCCCTCCCTCCCGCCCTCCGCCCGCCGTTCCTGTTCTCCCTCTGCCCCTTCCGTTCCCGAATCCTCTCCTCCCTTCCTGACCCTCCTGACCGCGAGGACCGAGTCCCGTGGGCCCTTGTCCGGCGAAGTGGGGGCGGCGCTGGACTGCCAGAGGGCTTGACCCGCGAAAGCCGGGCCCCCCCCCCCTGGGCGAGCCCTGCAGGGAGACAGGCGCCCGCGCCGGCAGCGAGGGCCCGCGCGCGCGGGGGGGGCATCGGGCATCGGGCAGCGAGGGGTGGGGGGGGCGCCACGCCTTCCTCGCCCCTTGCTGGCCGGGCGAGCAGGGGAGGAAGAATGTGCGACGTGGGCCTGAGGGGCGCAGGGGGGAGGGGCAAGAGGGAGGGAGGGGAGAAAGAACATGAGATGCGGTTAGGAGGGGAGGAATAAGAGGAGACGAGGAGGGAGGAGGAGAGGGACGAGGGGGAGGGAGGGGGATGTGAGACGAAGGAATAAGAGAAGGAGCGGGGACGGGGGTGAGGAGGGTGAGGCTGGAGGTAGGATGAGGGGACCAGAGGACAGGGAAGGGGATGGGGAAGGAGGAGAGGAGGAGAGGAGACGAGGAGAAGGTGGCGAGGAGGTTGCGGAGGTGGCGAAGTTGAGGTGGAGGGATGATGATGGAGGATGGTGGAGGATGACGACGACGATGAGAACGAGGAGGGAGAGATAGAAGAGTGGCAAAGGAGGAGCAGGAGCACGGAGGATAGTGAGAGCTGTGCTGGCATGCCTCCAGAGAGGCAGGTCCGCGTGGAGGAGGGAGGACAAGGAGGGATGAGAAGGGGGGGCATGAGAAGATGAGATGGGGAGGAGGAGGGAAGAAGACAATGAGGACGTGGAGACATAGTGGATACTCAAGGATGGGTGCGTCGGACATTGTGGTGAAAACCGGCATGGCATTGCAAGTCCAACTTTGCAAAGGTAACCAGAAGTGGTATCTACGTAGAAGGACGTCGATCGCATCCAAGTCTAATGGAACGAGGAAGACCATTGCTGATTCAGCGTGGGACAGCGATGATGGGCAAGACACAGAAGCACGCGATGGCCTCCCGCAGGCTATGTGCACCTCTACTATGACGGCTAGCCATGAAGAGGTGATGCAACAGTGAATGGCATTCCAGAACATAATGATGAAGATCTGGTTATGCGAAAGACACTTTGGTAGGTCAATATACCTTCGACGGTCTTTGCCGCACCACGACTGGGCTTGGGCAGGGGCAGGTCATAGTGGCAGAGACTATGCCAACAGCTCCCCGTGCACAAGCTTCCACCTAAATCTACGACAATGACTGAAAAAGCGGCCCAATGGCTCCGCCATTGTCCAAATAAAAAGATTGATCGATCCATTCCCCCCCCCTAATCAGGCGTCTTCTTATAGATTCGGCCGACGAGAGCTATGCTGACGATGGCTGTTACAACGATGTGGTTGAGGATGGTACCAGTGGTGATGAAAATGCAGCTGGTAATGATGGTAAGGTCTGGTGATTGGAATGTCGATGACGCTGATGCTGATGATGGTGATGAGGACGATCGCAAGAAAGGCACTGGCGACCTGAGGAAGATGAGGATGATGATAATGCTCATGCTGATGATGGTGGTGAGGACGGAATTGGAAAAGGAGGCGGCGTTGGAGGAGGAAAGGAAGGTGCACGAGGAATCGAGGCACTTGTCCTTCGAAGCGATTGGGCTGCCAACTGGGGCTCTGCCCCTGATGTTCTCCGTCCTGCTCATCAACATGTTCTCCACCAAAGGGTTCCCGTGGGGGAAGCCCAAGAATCATCTCAGATGCTCTCCATGTGGCTCTCCATAAGGTTCTCCTCAGGGTTCTAGGGATCTCCTCACAAAGGATTGCTCCTCGGGTTCTAAAACTGGTTATCCTTAGGGCTCCCCACGTGATTCCCCATATGAACTTTAGTACTACCCTTGGTTCTGCCCAGGGTCACCATGTTGTTCTGCATAGAAAGTTACCTCATGTTTCCGAATGTTCCTCTTCAGTCTCATACGATTATCCCGGGGGGTCCCCATAGAGCCCCCCGTACCATTCTCAGCCTGGGGCCCCAATCTTCTCCAATGCGCTATTAGCACATAGAGTCCTTCATACGGTGCTCCATCGGATTACCCAGCGAATGTGTGAACGGCTACGAGAGCGACAAACAACGACGATGCTCGTGGCAACGTCACAGCGGAGGACCCGAATGCGACGTAGAAATGCGTATGAACATAAGGGGCAGCCAACGGGACCGCCAGGAATGCGGGGGGAAAGGAGGGGGGGCACCTGGAAACACATCGGCGTTAGAAACAATGCTGCCAGAAGCTGAATTAACGGGTGAGGCCCCCGAGGAAGAAAGACACAATTTTCAGAGCCGCTGGTGTCAAACAAACATGATCGGAGTTGGTGCGGCCAAGAATCCGAAGATCTCCTGCTCAGAGCACATCAGCCACTGAGGACCTCCAACCTGTCAACGTCGAGTCAGGAACCGCGACCACCCCCTCACGCCTTCGTAAACGGGGAGAGGCTGGGGGCACAATTATTATTCTTCGAGCGATCCCCACCGGAACGAGGGCGCCTGCTGGAGCGACGCCAGCTGTTATGTTCGACCCTGTCCTTTACGAGTACGTTATACTCCGTTTTGTATGTTCAGGTGTACCATTTGTTTATGTGCTCGCTACCTCTATCATGCCAGGTCGCTGTGTAGCGTAACTTCATCTAGGTCCATAGAATTGTATCTGATATCTCCGGTTATATTCCATGTATCCTTAGCAACGGCGGTCGCAGTAGCACTCGTAGTAGTAGTGATCGCAACAGTAGTAGTAGCGGTAGTAGTAGTAGTAGTAGTAGTAGTAGCAGTAGTAGTAGTAGTAGTAGTAGTAGTAGTAGTTGTAGTAGTTGTAGTTGTAGTAGTAGTCGTAGTAATAGTAGTAGTAGTAGTAGTAGCAGTAGTAGTAGTAGGAGTAGTAGTAGTAGTCGTAGTAATAGTAGTAGTAGTAGTAGTCGTAGTAGTAGTAGCAGCAGCAGTCGTAGTCGTAGTCGTAGTCGTAGTGGTAGTAGTAGTAATAATAATAGTAGTTGTAGTCGTAGTCGTAGTAGTAGAAGTAGTAGAAGTAGTAGTAGTAGTAGTAGTAGTAGTAGTAGTAGTGCCGGTAATCGTAGTAGTAGTAGTAGTAGCAGCGGTAGTAGTAGTAGTTTTCGTAGTAGTAGTAGTAGTAGTAGTAATAGTAGTAGTAGTAGTAGTAGTAATAGTAGTAATAGTAGTAGTAGTAGTAGCAGTAGTAGTAGTAGTCGTAGTAGTAGTAGTAGTAGTAGTGGTAGTAGTCGTAGTAGTAGTAGTAGTAGTAGTCGTCGTCGTCGTCGTAATAGTAGTAGTAGTAATAGTAGTAGTCGTAGTAATAGTACTACTACTACTACGACTACTACTAGTAGTAGTAGTGGTCGTAGTGATGCTGGTAGAAGAAGAAGAAGAAGTAGTAGTAGTCATAGAAACAGCCATCGTAGTAGAAAAAGTAATGGTAGTGGTCGTAGTGGCAGTAGTAGTAGAAGTAGTAGTAGTAGTAGTACCAAAATGTAGTAGTAGTGGTAGTGAAAGTAGAAGGAAAAGGTAGTAATAAAATGAGTGTCAGTCGGATAATACGAGTAGTAGTCGTAGCAGTAGTAGTCGTAATCGTCGTAGAAATAGTAGTAGCAGTAGCAGTCGTACTACTACTAGCCGTCGTGATAATCACTGTGGGCGTAATAGTAAGGTGAATGTAGTCGTACCAACAATAAAACGCAATAGCCGTAATCGTAATAGCAGTAGTAGGAGCAACTTGTTAGTAAGCACAGCAGTAGTAGCAGTAGTAGCAAGCAGTAGCAGCGCAAGTAGAAATAGAAAAATAATAGTAGTAATGGTAGTAGTAGTAGTAGTAGTAGTAGTAGTAGTAGTAGTAGTAGTAGTAATAGTAGTAGTAGTAGTAGTAGTAATAGTAGTAGTAGCAATAGTAGTCGTAGTAGTCGTAGTCGTAGTCGTAGTAGTAGTAGTAGTAGTAGTAGTAGTAGTAGTAGTACTAGTAGCAGTAGTACCAGTAGTCGTAGTAGTAGTAGTAGTAGTAGTAGTCGTAGTAGTAGTAGTAGTAGTAGCAGTAGTAGTAGTAGTAGTAGTAGTAGGAGTAGTAGTAATAGCACTAGCAATATGAGTAGTAGCAGTAGCAGCAACAGTATTAGTAGTCGCAGTAGCCGGAGTAGCGGTAAGAGTCGTAGAACTCGTCGTTGTCATCGTCGTCCTAGTCGTAGGTGTAGTCGCAGCAGTCGTACTAGGGAGTAGCTGTAGTAGCAGGAGTAATAAAAAAGTAGCAGTGGAAGTCGTAGTGGCAGTCTGGCTTGACGTCGTGGCACCTGTCACGTTTGACACGTCGTCAAATTTGTCTTTGCTCCGCCTGTTTGGGCCACGTGGCCAACCCGACCTCGGCGCGCACGTCGCGTCGGATCAGCTTTAATATTGTATGCTATGTCATAATGCCCCTACTCTAGCCAATGTTTTTCAAGAACATGTTCTTCTGCTCCGTGGCATAATGGTATGACATGGTATGTTGATGTCAATATGTTTCATGTTCTATATTGCTCGGGGATAGTGTCTACGTTATGCTGAGTGCTTTGCAGTAAATTCTTCTCAGCCCTGTAATGCTACGCGTTGGATCATGGACCCCTCGCCACGCACCGTGGCCTCAGAAAACCGCCGAAAGACCGCCGAACGCCGCTAGCGGGCGCCCGCCCCGCCGCGGGCGCTGGGGCCCGACACAGTCTTCGGCGGTCTTCGGCTGTCTTTCGGTGGTCTTCGGTGGTATTCGGCTGTCTTTCGGAGGTCTTCGGCGATCTTCCCGTGGTATTCGGCGGGCTTTCGGCGGTCGTCGGCGGTGTTCGGTGGTCCTTCGGCAATCTTCGGCGGTCTGGACGGCGGCGCGACGCGTTCTTCGGCGGTCATCGGTTTGAAACCAACATATTTCGCGTTAGCAAAGGGTCCATGATCGAACACGTAACGCAATGACATACCTTGTCAATTACGGTTCAGTATATGGTGTTATGTCAAGCTCGTTGCCGTAGAGGCTTCAAACATCTAAACATGTCTGTTATGTTATGCTGGTTGAGGCGTGCTCTGTTCATTGTGTTCTTACATGTTCTGCTGGGTCCTGATGTTCCTCTGCAGCATGCTTACGTTTACGATGAGTTAGTACATTCGCTGCCAACATAGCAACAATAACCACATACTTCTAGTACGTTATGTTATGACCTGTTATGGTGTATCTTGCTATGAACAATTATGTCATGGTGTGCGTTGTTATGTTATGGTATGCTCGAAACGGCATTATGCGATGCTCTCGTCTGTCATGACATGATCGGGTACGCTCTGTGAGGCTCTGCTATGGCATCACATGCCATCCCGCAGCACGGTATGGTATGGTTTGCAGCGTCATGGGATACTGTGCTGTGCGATGGTGTATTATATTGTGATATGGTGTGTCATTGTGTTAGATGTTGCGTGATGGTCTGGTGGGTGCTGCTCTTTGATGTTATGATGCGTGCTGGTATGCTATGTTGTATAGGTTCCGGAATGTCATTGCTTGCGTTGGTGTGATGTGTCCTGCTATGCTATGTCCTGACGTGCTGGGTTGTGACATGGTGTGCTATGTTGTGGTGGCGTGCTATGCTATGCTCAGAGATGTTATAAAGTGGTGTGTCGCGGTCTGTCACGGTATGGTATGCCACGTAATGTAATGCTATGTGATGTGATACTGTGCCATGGTATGCTTGGGTCTGCCATGGTATGGTATGAAACTATGTTTTATGTCATGGAGTGGCGTGCTATGTTATACTATGTATGTGAAGATGTGCGTTGTTGTGCTATGCTCCAGTATGTCATCCCTTGACGTGTTATGCTGAAATGCGTTCTGCTAGTCTGTGGTATGGTATGCGTCGATGTGTCATTGCATGCGCTGTCATGATATGGGGTGCAATATGATGTGATGCTGGCTCATGGTATGTGTTGTTGTGCCATGGTCTGATATGGTATGTTATGTTATGCATTCGGTTGCTGTACTATGCGGTTCCATGCCATGTTACGAAATGGCCTGCTACGCTCTGGTCAGTATGCTCCGCTCTGCCGTGGCGTACGCTGGCATGCTGTGATACGAAATAATGTGGTATACAATTCTATAGTATGATGTGATATGTTACGGTGTTGGATGTACAAGTCTGCTATGTGTTGGTAAGCAATGATTGCTTTTGCAGGCCATGGGATGCTCTGTGCTGTTATGCTGTGCTATGGTATGCGCTGCTCGGGCATGGTGCATTATGGTATGAGAAGCTGTGTCATGATATGCTAAGTCATGATAAATACTGTTGTGTTATGGTGTGTTGCATGATGACCTGTTATGTATGGTCCGTTATGCCATAGCTGATGGAATTATGCAAAACTAAGATCTGATGCTCACTGTCATGTTACGACTTGTCATGTTATGAAATTCTCTGTGCTGCGATGCTGTGCTATGTTATGCTGTCTTTCGTATTCGTCGGATGCACAAGGCAAGAAACTCGGGGGATTCTCGTTGGACCTGGAGAACTGGCGACCGCGGTATGCAGAGTGGGCAGGTCGGCGCGAGGCACTCGGCGGATACTCGGTCGACCTGGGGATCTGGTGGTGGCCGCGGTATGAAGAGTGGGCGGGTCGGCGCAAGGTACTCGGGGGGTACTCGGTGGACCTGGGGATCTGGCGGCCGCGGTATGCAGACTGGGCGGGTCGGGAGGCCTGTTCTTCAAATCTAGCAACCCCAGACTGTCGGGTGGAAGAAAGCACCAGGTGCACCACAAGAGATGCTGGGAGATCATCAGCGTCATCATAACAATCATCATCCTCCTCCTCCTCATCATCATCATCACCGTCCTCACAAACATACACTACCACCCGCCACAGATCCTTAGCACCATCGATCACCACCCATCCACAATACGACGTTGACTAAGACAATCAACCAAATCATCAGCTCAATCACCCCCGTCAGTTGGACACCAATCGTAACCCATGCCTGCATCGACTCACTCACTCACTACTCACGTGCATTACTGTATCCGCCACCGTGCCCTTGCTGCACGAGCGTGAGTGTTCTCGGCTCCCTCGCTCGATCCCCTGAAGCCTCAGTCTTGCATGTGGAGAACTCTTTCTTGGGCCCAGACTCCCAATTGCGACATCTCACTGGATTTGTCGTGTGGCGCCTGGGACCCGGCGCGTCTTCCCACGTGACTTGTTCGAGCCGAAAGCGGGCCCAAGACAGACCGAGAGGGCCGTAAGAGGCCACTACGACGGTCCAAGAGGGCCCCGAATCGACGAAGGATTGGTCCAAGACGCTCAAGGTGGCCTCTAGTCGGTCGAAGACGCACCCAAAATGCTGCAAGATGCCTGCAAGAGCACACCCAAGAGGGGCCCAAGTGGCAAAGTGCAATGATCGTCCGTCGGTCTTCGAACCTCTGACGCTCCAAGACGTTCTGAAATGCCCCAAAGACTGGCCGAAGACGGCCCAAGAGACCCCCAAGAGGGCCCCAAGACGGCCAAGAGGGTCCGAAGACGGCCCAACAGGCGCCCAGGGCGGCCCAAAACGGACCAACAATCCAAGCCTTCCGTCACACGATGCCCCCAGGAGGCCCCAAGAAGCCCCAGGAGGTCCCCACAAGACCTCCAAGACGCCCAAAGAGGCCCCAACTCGGCCCCCAACACGCTTTGAAACTTCCTACACGAGGCCCCCGAGAAGCCTCCCGCGACATCCCAACGTACATCCTAGAGGCCGATGGCCCACGACCCAGACACGGTGGCGCTATGGGCCGAAGACAATTCTATCATCGAACGGCTGTTGTCATGTTGACTGCGCGTTGAGTGAAATGACAGCGCGGATGGCTATATTGGATATGGTGAAGGTGGCGCAGGCGATGATGCTGGAGGTTATGACGCCGATGGCGATGCTGACGACACAAACAATGGTGATGGTGTCAAAGATGTGGAGTGGACGATGAGTAGCATGCTGATAATGATGATGCTGAGTATTATGATAATGGGATGATGGTGGTGATGATGATGGCATTTGATGATGTTGGCGGTGATGATGTAAAATAAGATAATGGTGATATTGATGCTGATTATTTCGACAACGGACGGCGATGTTAATGATGATGATGATGATGATGATGGTGATGATGCTGGTGGTGATGATGATGATGATGATGCTGGCGATGATGATGGCGAGGGTGAGGACGATTAGCATGATGGTGGCGATGGAGTTCGAGGTTGAGGCGGGGTTAGTGGCGATATATATATATATATAGAGAGAGAGAGAGGGAAAGAGAGAGAGAGAGAGGGCGGAGACGGAAGTGGGAACTAATTGTTTCTTCTGTGCGATTGGGTTCCCCCTCACTGGACTCTTGGTGTACAAAACGTCCCCCTCCGGTTTTCCATCGTGTTCTCGACAAGGTTTCCCACCGTAGGGTTCCCCGTAGAATCCCCCCGAAGGTTCACCATGGAATTCTCAATGCGGTTCCCTGGGGAAAAGTTCTCCAAACGGTACTCCCTGGGGCTCCACATAGTTTTTCCATCGTGTTCTCCATGGGGCTCCATGGTGCTCCCCATAGGGTTCACCACAGGGTTCTCACTGGAGTTACTCATGGGGCTCCCCACAGGGTTCATAGGCTCACCACAGGGTTCATAGGGCTCCCCACAGTGTTCCCCACATGTTTCCCAAATTGTCTTCCATCTGGTGTTCTATACGGTTCTCTACTGGGTTCTCCATAGAATTGCCATTTGGTCCTGTATCCGTTTCTGCATAGGAGGAGCGATGGCAAGGACGGCTACGACTGCGACGAGACGGAGATATGTAAAGAGGGAAACAGCACGACGGTTGAAGGCTCGAACCTCGCGTTCGAACCATTGACACGGGCAACGAAACGCTCGGACGCGAGGTTCGAGCCTTCGGGCTGCACCGAATCTGGTCGACCATGAGATTCGCACCAGAGGGGTACCTCAGCACTCATTAGCACCAAGTAGTGACTTCTGAAGTACCTCTAAGGCCCATGTGGTTCGAACCACGACGCACGTGAACACTCCTTCACGTCACGATGTTCGATTGAATTCTGAGCTATCCATCTGGTTTATTGACGTAGTTTGAACCAGGTGATGCTGACGGTGAGGGAAATGATGATGACGGTGATGATGAGAAGGGGGGAAGGTAGGACGGCAGAAGGGGCCCCAGAATTCAATCCTGCAAATCGTGTTCTGCGTCACCGAACGCCATATCATGGTGACTGGTGGGGATGACGGTGACTACGATGATAAGGCTGATAAAGACGAGTAACGATGGTAGTGATGCGAGGTAGGAGGAGGATGGGAGGGTAGAAAGGCCAGATCCTCACCCCCCTCACACTACTCCCCCTATGCCAAAAAGCGAATTGAGGTACGTGGGTGGAGATGAAAACGGCTGAAGGCACACCCGTCAAAGCATCCGCAACCTGCTCACAGCTCGGCAACGCGGGGCGTTGCCGAGCGGACGGGGCGGGATGCACAGATGCACGGATGCAGCGGTGCGGGGGTCGCCCGCGCCCGGGCAGAAACTGTATGCGCTCGAGCTGCTTCGCTGGTGGAGGGACTCTCCGCCTTGCTCCAGAACGCCCCAGACCCCCGACGTCGTGGCTTTATCAAGACGGGGGCCCTGACTGTATCGGTCCCCTCCCCCAGGGACTCCTTCCTCGTCGCGGGCCGATCTCTCTTGGCGGTCCCACTGCCCAGAACGGTCCTCCAGCATGCTAGCCTGGGAAACCCTGGTCGTCGTGATTTGTCTATCAAGAATTCGGTGGCAACTCATGGGAGCCTCCCATGCCATCTCTTCGGCTCTTCCTAATCGACGCTAGTCGACGCTACATCGACCTTGTCGACGATAGCCGACGCTAAGTCGGCGCTATCTGATCGACTCCCAGACGCTAACCGACGCCAATCGACGCTAAAGACGGAATTGAAAAGATACGCCAGGCTCCCATGATTTGCTACAGAGCAATAAAAGGCCACATGCGAACCCTACCCCACCACCCAACGATTTCTGAGGGGGGAGGTGGGGTTTCCCTTCGCTTGGGAAAACCCGAACGAAGAAGTGAACCCCACCTCCCCCTTGGAAATCGTGGGATGGTGAGGTAGGGTTCGCATGCGGCCTCCTAGAACAAGACGCCGGAGGTCTGGGGACCACTGCAATGCCTCCGCGGCATGGGGGGGGGCCAGGCGGGCAGACCGCGTCACACGCTCATCGGCGCGGATCGACGCCAGTCGACGCCAACGACGGACTTAAAAATACCTGGGCTGCCACGACTCGCTGCCGATCAAGACGGAGGTCTGGGGATCCCTGCGTCACGCGCTAATCGACGCTGATCGACGCTAGCGACGGAATCAAGTAAAAGGGTGTGTATATATATGTATATATATATATATATATATCAGGCTTCCACGATTTTCGGTGGCTCAAGGATGGGGTCCTGAGGGACTGGGCCCTGAAGATGAGGAGGAATTCGGGGGTGGATGTACGCTGTTCGAGGCACCTCGCCCTGAGGACCCCATCCCTCAGGTCCCCATCTTTGGACCACCGAGACCTGCTATCGAACAAGACTCGGGTCGGGCGAAAGGGGAGGATAGCAAAGGGGGAGTTTGAGAATCAGCGCATGTAGCTGATTTTCCCGGCGCCTCCCGGCGCCAGAGGCGGCTATGTATCGAGGAATGGGCCCCTCGGTGAGGCCGAAACCAGCTGCATGCAGCAAATTTCGTAACCCCCCTTTCCCAATCCCCCCCTTTCGCCCGGCCCGAAAGACGCCGGAGGTCCGGAGGCTCCTGCGGTGCCTCCGCGGCGTGGGGGGGCCCCGGCGGGCAGGCCGCGTGTTATCACACCAGCACCTCCGCGTGGCGACGGCCGCCCGCGGCTCCTACGCGGCGCCGCGCGCGCGCGCCCGTCGGGGGGGCCAAGGGGAGGGCCGAGCGGCGAGGCGGAACTCTGCGCTGAGGCGGGGGACCTCGCCGAGGGGGGGCGTCGTCGCCGCCGCCGCCGAGCGAGCGAGGTCAGAGCAGCGCGGCCGAGCCCGTCGCGCCGGGGAGGGGGACCTCGCCAAGGGGGGCGGCGCAAACCGCGCGAATGCTCCTCGCCTCGGCTTCCCTCCGGAGGATCAGGATTGCCACCCGATCGCTCCATCCATCTCTCTCTCTTTCTCTCTCCCTGTCCGTCTGTGCGTCAGCCTCCCTCTCTCTCTCGCTCTATCATTCCCAATCTCTACCCGATTACATCCGTACCCCCGTGAGTGTGGCGCCTGGGCCCAGCCGTATCGGGAGGAGGAGGAGGAGTACCAAGAGAGATCTGGAGGCAGGATGGGGAGGAGCAGGAGGATGAGGGTGGGCTGCGTTGACTGCGTTCTAGAAGATAGGCATGGCACCCCTGCGCCCAACATGGAACACAAAAACATGACCTGCCTTGCAGCGACTTCCTCACCTAACAGTGTCCAAGGTGGTCGAGACAAGGGGTGAAAGGAAGACATGGGTTGAGTGGGGAGAGGCGAGACTGGGAGGGGAGTATCGCAACGCTTGCTTCTGCATCCGCATGGAGAGCGAGAGAGAGAGAGAGGGAGAGAGAGAGAGAGAGGCAGAGAAAGAGAGAGAGAGAGAGACGGAGAGGGAGAGAGACAGAGAGAGGAAGAGAGACCCTGCGTCAAAAAGAGTGTCCCGGGGAGCCGTTGCTGGACCGTCCCAAGGCCGTCTTTTGACCGTTCGACGGCCTTCTCGAACTGAGGTAGTGGAGTCGTCTCGGAGTGCCTCGGATCAGTCTAGTGCTGTTTTGGAAAACAGGGTCCGCCGCGCCCACGCCGCTCGCCTGTCTCGCACGGGGTGTCTGTAGCGGGTTTGTAGACTAGGTGACCTTTGGCCTCATTCGCCTGCGACATCTCGCCGAACAGCGCCAGAGACTCTTGTAATGTGCACTGGCGCGTCTCACCATCTCGCCGTCGCTGCTCGCAATTCCTGCAAACGCTGCTGACCCCAGCCGGTTGAGTTGACGATCTTCAGCTTCGTATCAATAGCCCCCGCTAAGAAGAGAATTAACCCATAGCCACTGCTCGCCCTGTCCACGCATGCCGACACTCGCAATGTCTGCCTTGTTTAGAACAAGAGTTGAGTCGTGCAATACTCGCAGCGATGCGCTTCTAATGTATACGCATGTTGCTCGAATGTCCGACTGGGACAAGGTTCTATTCCAGCGCAGGGGGCTTATGAACACGAGAGGTGGATGGCGGCGAGGAGAAGGGGAAGCGGAGAAGAACCAGACGGAGGATGATACATAGCAAAATCTAACGAGCGGCCGGAATATGAGCAGCAAGAGGGGAAGGAAGGAGCGGCAACATCAATCGTCCTCCCCCGTCCTCCCTTCCGCCTCTCTCTTCCTGCCCCTGTTCCTCCACCCTCTTCCTCCTTGCTCCCCGTCCCCTCTCCTCCCTCCCTCCCCGCCACTCCCCCCCTCAGCCCCTCCCTCCTCCTCCCCACTCTCCTTCCTCCCTGCACGTGTCCTCTTCCTTGTGCTCCTACTCTTGCGTCCACTATTACTATAAATGTTCCTTTTCTTCCCCGCCACTCCTCTACGTACTTCCTGCAGCTCATATCCCGTCTTCCGTTCCCGCCTCAGGCCTCTTCTGTCCTACCCCCTCTCACCCGCAGCTATTCCTCCTGTTTGTCTCCATGTCCTCCTGCCTCCTGCCCCCCTTTTCCCTCCTCCTTCTCCTCGTGGTTCTCATAACCTACCTGCCTCCCTCGTCCTGTTCCCTGGTCGACCTCTTCGACCCTCCGCCTCAAGCCCCCCTCCTCGCCCTCGTCCTCCTCATCGTCCTCGTCCTCCTCTTCCGCATGTTCCTCCTCCTCTTCTTCCTCCTCCTCCTTCTCTTCCTCCACCCTCCTCGCCTTGCGATCCGAAAATCTGCGGGGTCAACGGGGCCCCTGGCACTAAGATGTCGACCATCGAGACGGCAAGGAACAACAACGAAAAACACCGAACAGCTGCGCTCCAATCCGGCTGGCGGGGTCCGTGCCAGGAGGTGTTCGCTGCTGCCAAGCCGCGGTCGCGTAGAGGGCCACGATCTGCATCCCCGGGCCCCGCCGGGTCACCGTTCACTTGCCTTACAAGGGTTTCTGCCACGGCGCCGCCGCCTGCCTCCAGCAGAGCGGTTTGCCCCAGGGCGTGGACGAGCAGGGCATGCGCGGCTTGGCGTGTCCGCCGGCGGTCTCCAGCGACGCCTGTGATTGTCCCCCCCTCGCGGCCGCGATGACAGCCCCATCGCAGCCGGCGTTGGCGCGCGTCGACATCACAAGGTGAACTGTGTTGAGCAGGGCCCGACCGTCCAGGCAGTCCTTTAAGCATAACGCAGCACGTTCTTTGAACAAGGGCTCGTTAAAAAACAAAATTCTTAGAACCTGAGCCCGTATTTCGGCACTACGATCTCAGCCTGAAGCGTGTAGAACACATTCCGCGAAAGCCAGACAAGGGTTATCATAACACTCTCTTCGGCAAAGCACGACGCTTCGCCACTGCCAGACTGTGCCAGGCGATGACGAGAAAGAAGAAAACGCGCGGGCGCCCGCGCCGCTCAAACATGAGGCAGACGAGGGCCTCATCGCGCCGAGCGACTACAGGCCACGGCGGCCGGCGCAAGCGGCTGCCAGTCGCGACGCTTCGATCCCCCCCCCGTCTGCTGCGCCGCCTGGCGCGGCGCAGTGCCCTCCAGTGTTGCGCCTGCGCGTCCGTGGACCTGGCGCGCGGCGTGCTTGCCGCACTCCGTGCAGTTGTGCTGCGAGGCCCTTTCCAGGTCGGCGCTTCGCGCTGTCGGGCCCCCGTCGCGCGGGCAGCGCCAGGCGCGGCGGGCCTTTTGCTGCAGAGGGCCTCCCCCGCAACGCTGGCCAGCGCGTTCGCCCGTGCGGGGGCGGCTGCTGCAGGCGGTTCCAGGCGGCGCTTCGTCTTGCCCCAAGAGTCTGGACGGCGTCCGCGTAGTCCGCAACCTTCATCGGCTCGTGGGACAACCCGCGCGCAGCAGTCTGCCACCCCAGGGCGCGCGTCCCGCCGCGCGGGCGGGAGAGCGCGATCTCCTCCAGCTCCCGAGCCCCCAGCTTGGATTGGCGTTTTCTCGCCGATCCTTACATCGAGGGCCTCCTGGAACTGCGATGGCATACAAAATCTTGGGTTTCGAAGCAAAGCGGTGGGAATGCAGCCCTCTTAAATCCAGCGTAGTCGTCGCGGCTCCCCGCGCCGCCCGCAGCTTTCCCCGCTGCGCGCGGCTGCTGGCAGCGCGCCCCCCTGCGACTTTCTGGCGGGCAACTGGGCCGGCTCTGCGCCGACGCGGCCGCGGCGCCAGCTGCGCGAGCCCAACCGGCGAGCGGCAGCGGGCGCCCGACTCAGGAAACGCGCAAACATTCTCAAGTCGTCGTGGCAGGTGGGCGCGCGCTCGCACGCCCCTCAGGCTCTGCCTAGGAAGTGGCCCAAGCTGCCGGCGCCAGTTGCTGCTGGCCGCGCAGGCCGCGTCGCGGCGAGCGCGGCGCCCGCGGCGGATCCGCGCGGCGACGTCGTTGGTTGCGGCGGCGGCCGCCAAGGCAGCTGGCGCGCTCACTCGGAGGAGGCGCGCGAGCTTGCTCGCGACCCAATGGCTCAGCATAATCCCTCTGATTTGCGCGGCTGGCCGGCAAGCGCAGCGAGGCCGCAGCCAGGGGGGCAGCGAACTTGGCGAGGATCTCGGCCGCCCGTCGCCGTCTCCGCGCAGCGCGCCACAGCGGGCCAGCACCGGTGGGGCGCAAGCGGTGGCAAGCCCCAGCCGCGCTCGAAAGCCGCGCAAGGAAGCCCGGCGACAGACGAGGGTTGCACGCGGCAGCGAACTCATCCCCTTTCTTCCACCTCCGCCGCCTTTGACGCGGATATATCGCAATGATGGTCCGAGAATGTCCGATCTCCACCGTCGAGGTTCGGCGAGCTTGCGCGATGAGGGCATCCGCGCTCGCAGTCGCCCCCGAGGAAAAACGCCAGTGGCCCGATGCGGCTGGGGGGGGTCCGCCGACGAGGTCGCGGTCCTCGGAACGCAACGCGCGTTGCGCCGCCCAACAGAACACTGCGCACAGGGAATCCAACAATTGTTGACAAGGGCGCTGCTTTTCGCCAGCTAGACCAGCAGCCCACGCGGGCCCGCGGGGCCAAACGCGCGCGGAATATTCTGTCCTCGCGACGAGGGCCCTGCCCGGCCGACGAGGGGGTTGTCCTGTTATGTGGCAACAAGCCGCCCCGCGCTACTCCGCCAGCGACCCCCCCCCCCGCCCTCCCCCAGCATTCCCCGGCGCGGGGGCGGAACGGGAAATCGGCGCAGTCTGTGGCCAACATCAAATGCAGCAGGCCTATTTCGATGCCCGCAGTCATGAGACATTGCGGCCACCCCGAGGCCATCACATGCGCGCCGCCGCGCATCGTCACTGCATGCGCCTGGTGTTCAAAGCGAAGCGAATCGAACGCCGAATCTTCGAATGGGCAATGCGGAACGGACTGTTGGCCCTCGTGGCGCGAAGGCCCAGCGGCCACTAATTTGCGGGGGCGGGCCCCCGACGGCGCAGGGCCCCCCCCTCCGCCCGCTTGCGGGCCCCCCCCCCGTGGAGGCTGGCGGGCCACGTCAAATCTCCAGCGGCCAGGCAGGTCCGCGCGCGCCAAGAGGCCAGGCCGCGCGGCGGATGAGTCGACCCCAACCGCGCGACGATCCCCCCTGTCGCCGTCGTTGACGGCTGGCCCCGTTCCGGGCTCGGCGCCCTCGCCCTCAGCCATCGCCGAGGGGGAAGGAGGCGGGGTGAAGGCCGGGAAGACCTTGCAAGCTGTAGCACGCGAGCCTAATGGAAGACGGGAAACAAGGGGGCCGACAACGCGACGGGGCGAAGAGGCTCCTCCTTCTTCTCCGCCCCCTCGACCCCCACCCTCTCCCCGCCGCCCCCCCTCGCTTTTGCGGGGCGTAGTCGGCGCTCGATCGGGCGAGCCGCAACGCGAGAGAAGGCTGAGAGAAAGCAGAGACCCACCGCCACGGACTGGGAGCATCAAGGAGGTGAGAGAACGATGGCGCCGGTCAGCGCTGATGCGCGCGGATGCTGCGCCTCGCGTTTGCAGGGCATCTCATGCCGCGACTAGCCGCTCCCGCCGCCGCCGCTGCCCTCGAGCGCATCGGGGCCCGGGATTCCCCGCCGCCCCCTCGAGGGCCGCGCCGAGGCGCCGCCGGCGCAGCCCCCCGACTACTGCCGCTGCCCCCACGGCGGCCTTCGAGATGGCGAAGGGCTCGGCTTCGCCGGGCACACCCTACGCCTCGAAGAACGCCAGGGCGTTGTCCTCGGCGCGTGCTGCTGGATGCTGTCGGCGAGTAGATGGCTCGTGCGCATCGGATGATCCATGGCCCCCAAAGTGCGAAAACGTCATTGCTCTTGGTCTCTTCAAGAAAAATTGACGGCGGGCTGTCCTCGGTTGGGGGGCTGCTCTATCCTATGTGCGGTGTAGCTGGCGATCGCGACGAACAGCCTCGTTGGCTCCATGACGGCCGCTCCGAGCATTCACTGGTGGGCCAGTGGCAGCGCGTTACGCAGCAGAAGGCCGCCCATCTGGAGCTGGGCGCATTCCTTCAAGCTGGCTGTCTCGAGGGTCCGCAGCGCGCTAGCGCTGCGGACTGGGCGAGGCTGCTCGCGCATGGCTCCGATCCTGTTGAACCGTGCTGCTGGCCGTCGTTCGCATGGCGGCCAAGGTAGCCGCGCTGCCCCCCTAACTCGGCATGCCGCGGTGCACCAGATGGCCCGCGCCTCCGGGTCTCCCGCGTCTCCTTCAGCGCCGCTCATGATGTCGACGATGAGGGCGCAGACGAGGGCGCGGTCCCGCGTCGGTGCCCACTCGAGGTAGAACTGCGCGTCCCCTGTCAGACGCCCGCTGCTGCCGCGCGTTCCGTAGAAGCTGGGCTGGCTCATGACCCTCTGCGGCTTAGGCCCTCTGCGGCTTAGGCCCGCAGCCGACGTCGGGGAGATTCTGTCTCCTTAATCGCGCAGGTTGACGGAGTTGCTGCCAATGCTTGCCCGGTCCTCATCCACCCCGGCAGGAGCTCGGGGCCCTGTGGCTGCTGGTCGTCGCCGAAGTAGTCGTCGGACGTTCTGTGTCTGACTAGTATCAATGCCTCGTGGCGTTGGTGGTCACAGGCGGCGTCTTCCCCGTCTGCGAGGGGCTGCTTCGCCTCCGCGGCGCGGGCCAGGCGGGTAGCTCGGGTCCGGAGATGCTACCTGAGTCGCATTATCGCGCCGAGGTGCTGGAGGCAGCGGGCGCAGGTATAGCGCCTCTGCTCCAGCGTTCCACCGCGTCGCAGGCGAGATGATACTTGGCCGCGTGCGTGCTGCGTCATCGTGCAGGGGCGCCGTTGATGCCGCGCTCAGACAGGCAGACAGACAGACAGACGCCCTCGGCCGGGAAGGAGCCTGGCCTGGCGCGGGGCTAGGGTGGAAGGCACCGCGGTGCCTCTGCACCTCGCGAAGTCCTCTTCCAGACGGCCCCATGCAGCCGCGTCTGCAGCGCGAGCCACCAACGCTCCGTAAGAGATAAGATTGTCCACCAAACGTTTGTGCAGTCCACCGCGCCGGCGCCCGCGCGCCCGCGGCTGTTCCCGGCGCCCCATTGAATCATCTTACTGGCGCATGTGTCCGGCGTCGCGAGGGCGACGCGGCCTGCGAATCGCAGCGCTCTGCGTCTCCAAGCAACCACCCATAATCTATATATGTGCAAAGCGTTCCTGCACTGATGCTGTCGCATCGCTCCCGAAAAGGCGCAGCCGGCTGCGGAAAGAAGATTGCTTGTTGGATAACTCCTGCTTGTTTCACATGAGCGCCTTCCAGCCCTGCCAGATTCGGCGGTCGATCTCTGCTTCCGCGCGCTCGCCGCCAGTGACCGCGCGGCGCAGATATTTGGCCGCGCTATCGAGTGGGACGATCTCGATACTCGTCCCATCGACTGCAGCATGCGCCCGTTTGTCACGACTGGCGCCCTTGACCGCGTTCGTGCTGATCTTGGTTCCGTCTGGGTGTAAAAGTAACCCAACGGCGCCCGCGGCTGTCCGAACCTCCGAAAGCATCCTGCAATTATGTTGAGAATTCTGTCTGGCGAGCAAGACATCATCAGCGAAACGCAACTTGGTAAGCCTCGACAGCGGCGATTGCACGAGCTGTAGCCAATGGTCGTTTCTTGCCCAGCGCACTGCGACATCTCGCAGCATGTCTTCCAGTAGTGCGTTGAAGATCGGAGCTCAGCGGGTCCCCCTGTTTCGTCTCATGCGCTATATGGAACCGCTGGCTGCTGGTGTCTGTGCGTATTTGAGCTCTCTGGTCGCTTTAAGAATTGTACAGGTAGTTGAACGCAAGGAAGTGGAACGCAACGCCTTGCAAGCGCACTCCATAACGCCTGGTGCTCCGCAGAATCGATGGCGAAATCCAACCTGATCTGGACTTTGTTCTGGGTCCCATATAGAAGCACATTCTCTGCAAAGTAGTGGGATGATCGCGATGGGCTGGTAGTTCTTTGCAAACCTCTCGTCGCCAACTTTCAGGATTACTGTGGTGGTCGCCTGTCTCCAAGCATCTGGTGGCTCTTGGTCACGGTATCTATCAAAATACTACCGCCATGCGACAACATCTCACTAACTACTCCGCGGCTGTCAGCACAACGACCTTGTTTTAGTTTCCTGATGGTTCTGCCCACTTCTTTGCGCGTGAACGCCGGCACGCAATTGGTCGTAGGTCGGCCTGCCAATTCTTTCACGGGGGGCACATGGCACTTCGACTCATAGAGCTACTCATAGAAGGCCGCGAAAACGTTTGCCATGCCAGTTCTGGGGGTCACTTCTTTGTCACCATCAAGCATACATGCTGTCAGTCTTTCTTTACCGATTGCTTTGACCACTTGTGTTGACCCCAGGCCAGACATGTCTTCCAGACTATTCTGGACGCGCTGTGCTGCGTCAGCTTTCCTCGTGGCCCAGATTGTCTTGTAGATCGGTTTGCTTATGCTATTGTACCCGGTGGTATCTTGATTGAAGAGTTCCTTGCGCTGCCGGATCAGCTCTTTGATCTGCCTGTGATGGACCATGGCTGCAGAATTGCACTTGTTCTGGCTGTCTTTCGTGTTTCGTGTCGCAGTTGAAACCAAGAGTTGCTAGATCTGGACAGCTCGCCCCAGGACGTCACTCTCGAAGGTAACGTTCCAAGCTCCTGCTGTAAGCCATATCCGTATTTGTCACTTGCAGTTCTGTTCCAAAAGACGCCCGGACATAGCTTGGATATCTGGCCGCCTGTTGGAAAATCAAGCGCGCGACCCGAAAACAGTTTCAGCTTCACGGTCACGGCAGAATGGTCCGAGCCAAGATCCAGGCAACGTTCCAAATGTAGCCGAAGTCCTGCACTTCATCCCACTCTTCCTCCTAGTGCTCGTCCTCTGCTGCCTGAGGTGCTGCAGGTGCTGCTGGGGAGGGTCCGCGGAAGCTTCATGCCTGCGGCTGCCATTTCCTTCCACCATGCTGCGAGACGCTGCTGATCAACATGCCGGCAACGGTGTCGTCCTTCTGCCTATCTTCACCAGCTGAGCCATTTGCACGGTTGGTCTCCGCATAGCTTCGCTCATGGATCTAGCCCAGTCTCTGTGCTGGGCATGTCGTCGCAGGTGGGAAAACTGCGGAGCCCCCGAATGTCGCGCTTGGTCTGTCCAGATCACCCTTCCTCCTGGTCCACGGCGAGGTCCAGGAGACTGAGGAGCGAGAAGGGCGTCGGAGAGCACATTAGCCAGCGACCAGAGCCCGATGTAGGACAGGAGCGCTCTGAAGACCTCGACGCCAGCCGCGGCTTGCACCTGGCCGTTGTAGTTTTTCTCGTGGTGCCTTTTTTATGGACACCGCTCGTCTGAACGTCTCCTTGTAGGCGCCGCCCATTTCTGCCATCCGCTCTGGCGTGAGCTTAGGCCAACTGCTGATGCCGTAGACCAGCGCGGAATTGGCCCAGGCGTTGCCGTACTTCCTGGGCGTAGGCGCTGCCTTTGCATGTGAATGCCACGTTGCGCAGCGGGCCTTCAGCTGAGCGCTGCTTGCTTCTACGGTGTCTGAGCTCGCCCCACATAATGCGGGATGACGATTAGTAAAAAATTGGAGAGAACGATGGAAAACATAGTTTGCCGCTATTTCTGCATAACTTTCTGACTGGAGGAGAACGATTTTAAACATAGTTCTCCAGCCCGCGGCCGGTTTTTTCTAATCGTCATCCCGGGCGCCGCCGCGTGAACACGACCCCCGGTCATTTATTAATCGTCATCCTCCATTACTCTGTTCGTCTGTGAACTGCCCCGAGGTGGCAGCACCGCTTGGTCGGAGGCGCCTCGGTGTCGGGGACCGTGGTCGCAGGTGGTGGCCCCGTGAAGAGCTGCGCCGCTGCGCCCTTACCTTGTAAGAGTAGCTTCCTTCTTTGCACACAAGGCGTCCTCGTTCCCCTTCTCCTTCTCCTCCTCCTCCTCCTCCTCCTCCCCCTCCATTTCCTCCCGCTCCACCTCCTGCTCGTCCTCCCGCTCCTCCTCCGCCTCCTCCCCCTCCCTTTCCAGCTTCCGCCCCCTCGCGACGCTCCTGCTGCGCCCTCGGGTGCCTGCGCGAGCCGGCGGGACCCAGCTGGCTCCGCGAAGCCCATCACGCCTCGCCCCCGATGCCACGACACCCCGGCGGGGAGAGGAAACGGCCACGAGGCGGCACGAGCAAGATGGCAGGATGTCATGGGGCCAGCTTCGGCCACCTCCCAGGGCAGCATGGGCAGGAGACGATTCGTGGGCCCTCGAGGCCCAGGACCCGTGACGTCCGAAAATGTGCGATCGTCAAGCGCGGGGGCACTTCAGCGCAAACAGGGGTGGAGCACGAGGTAGCGGTAGCGGCGTGGACCGTGGATCACCCGTGCCGAGGCCTCATGGGGGCGGGCCCTGGAGGAATTCGGAAGACCTCGGAGCTCAGGGGGCCTCAGGATGGCCTCGGGGGACCTCAGCAAGCTGCTTGACCCGCTGGCCCCGGGAGCACTGGCCAGAGCAGGAGGAGCCGACGGATCCTCAGATCCCCGGCGTTCTGGGCAAAAGCACAACGGGCGTGTGTCTCCGTTCTTGAAGGGGCCCTGGGACACACACATATGAATACACACAAATACAAGGATTCCCCATATTTCCCCATATTTTCTGGTTTTTTGTCTTCCCCCCCACTTCCCATATTTTCCCATATTTTCCTGGGAGTCGACGATTCCTTGTGTCTGTGTGTTTTTCCCCTCCTGAGATCTGGGCATCACCCTTGCCCTCCAATGCAAGAACAAATGACACGGCCTCCCCCGTCCGGCGCCCGGAGCCATCAACCACGGAGATCGTGGCCCAACACTGGCCATCGCTCGGACGTCCATTCCCTGTTTTTTTTCGGCTTCGCCAAATGATCAAGGATGCTCCTCGATGGTCCTCGCCGAAGGAAGAATGCACACGTCCGAGCGATGCCAAGAACATGGGTCGGTGGAGGATTGACGGTACCAGATGCTTCTCATCGCCGCCCAACGAGCACCTCGGCGGGAGAATCATGAACACGAAGGGACGAGAGGAGCAGGATGGGTCGACGTGGACCGAGGGTTGGCTCCAGGGTTTCTTCGATGAGCGCGCAGCACCGCAAAACGCACAACACCGAGAACTCGCGCGGAGCGGGATGAGCAGGAGCATGAGGCAGGCGGGACGAGCAGCATGGTGACGGAGCATGTGGAACTTGGAGCACAAGGAGACAGGCGAGAAAGGTGGCCTGAGCTCTGCCCGTGGGTGCGGAAGTCTCTGAGGGTCCCTGCTGAACTGCTATCCTACTAGTGTCTCTCGTCTCTAGTTCTCTTGCCTCTCCGATCCTGTCTCAAGTCTCTTGTCTACGCGGGGGGGCGGCCCACGAAGCCTCTGAAGCCACCCAAGGGGGCGCCCATCAGCCTCTCAAGGCGCCGCTGAAGCCGCCAACGGAGGGGGGATCCTGGGGCCCCTCAGCCTTCTGGCCACCAGATTGGCCCCACGACTCCCATCGGGGCGCCATGGGAGGGCCAGGAAAACTCAAGAGGTTTCCAGGAAGGCCCGAAGAGCACAACATGGACAAAGATGGCCCCAAGGCGTCCCCTCCCACATGGCCAGAGGGCCCCCCACGACGCCTGTCCCACGTTGTGTTCCCAAAGTATGCCAAAATTGCCTCAAGACGGCAAACAGGTCCCCACACCTTGCACAGGCCAGCCCAGAAATGGCCCCACTACGACCCAAAAAGCAGCCAAGATCGCCCAGGATGGCCCAACGACCCGAGGTCGCACAGTAGATCCCCCAAGGGCCCCCAAAATGAACCCCAGAGGCTCCCACATACGTTGCCCAATCTGACCTGGAGGTCGCGCCAAAGTGATCCAAGAAGGCTCTCAGACTGTCCGAACACAGTTAGCCACAAGGCGGCTCTGCCTGGGGGGCCAGCAGCTGAGGGTGCAATCCTTCAATCCGATGCCCATGTGGTCTTCCCGCAGCGTGCTCGGCGTGCTGAATATTAACTTCATGTTTGGGTTCTTGCTCGGCCATCCAGAATCTCCCCACAAGCTCCTCGCCTGCGGACGGCCCGCTCAAAGGTCGAAACACTTTCCCGAGGACGACCAGAAGACAGCCACGGTGGGCGAAGGTGGTCCCCATAGCGGCCCATGACGGTCCAAGAGGACCTCCAAGAGACCTCCCAGACGGCCAAGGTGGTCTTGATATGGCCCCAAGACGGTGCAAGGGGCTTTCTGGTGGGTCTGTTGGCAAGCCTTGGCCCAAGGGGTCCTACTCGTTGAAAGCTCTGTTTCCTTGACGATCAGAAGAAGCAGTAATATAAGCATTGCCATGTCCTTGACAAGAATACCTCCTGGCGCTCTCCTAGGCCCTCTCTGGGGCCTCCTCCTCCTCCTCCTCCTCCTCCTCTTGGGGTGGTCCCAGGGCTCGCAATTTCAGCCCCCCCATGTTTGTACGAATTCTTTGCTCGTGTAAACAGCATTGCGCGTGGCACGACACGGGGGATTGCTGGAGCTGGTCGTGTCTAGAAGTGCACCCGAGAGGGGCTGAATCTTCACCGACCTGCGCGGGGTACCTACCGAGCGTGCCAGGCAGGTTGCGCTGCAGTGGCCGTCGCCGCTGGCAGCAACGCGCCCTCCCGCCCACCCACGGCTCTGGGCGTGCTGCGCTGCACTGAGCGCTGAAGGGGGATAGGATGCGGTGACAGAAAGAGGAGCGTGCCGCACGAAGGAGTCCGTCCCGCGCCAACGGCGGGTGAGATCCAACTCAGGTGGGGACCCTCGCAGCTGACCCAGCAGATCCAACTCTCCCAGCACAGCGACCCGTGGCATCTAAGATTCCAGGGTTCTCGCGTCTTCTGTCTTAGGAGCATCCGATGTGGCGCTCGACGCTCCCGAGATCGCCCACAGGCGGCCCGCAGGACCCCAAGAGGGCCCCAGCGCCCCCAGTGCAGCCCCAAGAGGGACGCACCATGCGAAATTCGAGTCAAGGGGCCAGGAGCCCCACCCGACCCACCAAAATATCATTGTGGCCGTCGAGACCACCAGCAGGCCCCCGAGACACCGTCAGACCTCCCCGAAGCCACCGAGAGGTTTCCAAGATGCCCTAGGGAGGGCACCCAAAGAGACCCGAAGAGGCCTCCAACCCGCGATTCGGGGACGGCGAGGGGATGGGCAGGAGGCCACTCGATCTTCGGAAAAGGGGGAGACTGGGGAAGGAGAAGAAAGCGATGGAAGAGGTACTGGAGCATGCAGGCTCAAAGCTTTCACGCGATCAAGGGCATCATGCCCGACCCTGCTGGTGGCCAACGCTCCTTAACCTAAGTCTGCCTGTCCTCTCAGCATGGCCCGCCGACGCACGTGCCAGGCCCCCGCGCGAACCCCTCGAGCCCACCTGCGGGCGCCTCCCCCCCCCCCCCCAAACCTCCCTGGCCCGCCCTGGTCGAAGTCGAAGACCGTCGCAAAATTCTCCAGGAACATGCCTCCGATCATCCAGGGCTCGTCGTCCACAGGTGCCTGGCGGATACGCGAGCGGGGCTTGGAAAGTTGCTCTTGGTCGTTGGCGCAATCTCTTGGAGAGGAGGGGAGGCGAGGACAGCGTGCTTGGGCCCTGGGACACACACATAGATACACACAAGTAGCAGGATTCCCCATATTTTCCCATATGTTCTAGGTTTTTGCCTTCCCCCCACTTCCCACAGTTTGCCATATTTTCCTGGGAGTCGACGATTACTTGTGTCTGTGTGCTTTTTCCCCTCCTGACTATACCACGCCCGATACAAACAACCCCGAGGCAAATGCATGTGTCACGGAGTTGGTGGAGGAACGGCAGAACGAGGACGAGGAGGGGCAAGGAGGACGGGGGCTTGGAAGGCAGTGCGAGTCGCTACACCTAGGCTTTCGAGCTGCAGCGCCCTGGGACCTCGGCAGACACAGCGAGGCCACCTCAGACGCGGACAAGAGGCAGGGTGGAGGCGCGCGCGTGCGTGCACGTGTGCACGCGAACTGAACCATGCACGCTGCCTGCGTGCTTCTGCTGCTCTTGCCCACCCCTTCCGTCCCTTCGGACACGCAGCGGCCTGCGCCCGAGAACGCATTGGGCTCCACTCGTGCTTTGCCTTGCACCCAGGTCGGCCGCCTCGCCACATGCGCGGAGTGCTGGACGCCCGCTCGCCGAGGCAGCCAGCAAGGGGCACTGCTACGCCATCGGCCGGTTGAGCGCCTCAGCCGCCCACTCTGGCTATCGCTCGGACGTCCATTCCCTGTGTTTTTTCGGTTTCGTGCGTGGTTTTTTCGCGGGATGATCAAGGATGCTCCTCGATGGTCCTCACCGAGGGAAAAATGCACACGTCCGAGCGATGCCAAGCACTCGGCACACGCCCTCGTCGTCGCTCCATGCTCCTGCACACGGGACGATTCGCCGTGCGGCTGCCCCCATGAGCCCCGCGCTGGAAGGCACTGCCCCTCGGCCTCGCCGTCGAGGGAGAACCCGCGCACGCGCCCGCGCCCAGCCGCCTCGAGGAGTCGGCTCCTCTTGGGGGGCCGTCTGGATGCGGAAACGGGCACGGCAGGCCGGACCCACCAGGGGCCCCCCGTCCAGGAACATTCGGTGGCAACGCATGGGGGCCTCCCATGCCATCTTGTCGGCTGCGGATCGACGCTAGTCGACGCAACCATCGACGCTGACCGACGCTAACCAACGCGAACTCGGCGCTAGCTCATCGACTCCCAGACGCTCATCGACGCTAGTCGACGCCAAAGATAAAGCCGCGAAGGTACACTTTGGTCGGGCATGTCCCCCCCTGCAGGCAGATTTTGGAGGAAACGTTAAAAACAGTCTAAAATCGTTCCCAGAGTATTCAGAGAATTCAAAACAGTCTAAAATCGTTCCCAGTTCAAAAACAGTTCCAAACAAAACAAAATAATACAAACATCGTTCCCAGAGTATTCATTAAAACTATGTTTGGGTCTTCCTCCTGTGGAGGGACATGCCCGACCTAAGGGTGCAGACAGGCTCCCGTGACGTGCTGCCGAGGGACCCCCCGAGCGCGCGGGGCCCACCGTCGATCCCCCGCCCCAAGCTCGCCGGCGGGGGGGAGCAGCACGGCCTGGCCGCCCCGCCCACTGCGAGGAGGAGGGGGGAGGAGGAGGAGGAGGAGGAGGAGGAGGAGGAGGAGGAGGAGGAGGCGGAGAAGAAGGAGGGGGAGGAGGTGGAGGAGGAGGAGGAGGAGGCGGAGGAGGGGGAGGAGGTGGAGGAGGAGGAGGAGGAGGAGGAGGAGGCGGAGGAGGCGGAGGAGAAGGAGGGGGAGGAGGTGGAGGAGGAGGAGGAGGGGGAGAGAAGAAGGAGGGGGAGGAGGTGGACGAGGAGGAGGTCGGGAAGGAGGAGGTCCCCCCTCCCGCACGCGCAGTGGCGCGCCCGTGGAGCTTGCGCGTCCTGCCCCCAGAGGGGCAGCGCTGCACGTGTGGAGGCGCGCCGCCTCCGAAGAAGCCGCGGCACACTGCCTGCGGCCCGTCAGGGCGCGCGGCGAGGCGGGGAGTGACTACCTACCAGACCACCCCAACCCAACCCAAAGACCCGAATTTGATCAGAATTTCGGGTTGGGGGGGTACGGGCTCCATGTGATTTTTCAACGTTCCCCGACCCCCCCCCCCGCTGGAAATGGAGGGCAAATTGAGGCCTTCGGGTTGGGTTGGGGTGGTTTGGTAGGTGGTGAGGGAAGGGTGGGTGCAACTGAAGGGGCCCTGGGACACACAAATAAATACACACACGCAAGTAACAGGATTCCCCATCGTTTCCCGTATGTTCTGGGTTTTTGTCTTCCCCCCCACTTCCCATATTCTCCTATGTTTTCCTGGGGGTCGACGATCAACGCGCTGGGAGCGCCGTACTTCGACTCAGCGCCCACTCTGTGCGATGCCGCAAGCGCAGACCGAGGAAAAGGGGGAGATCCGAGACGACCTGCCGCGAGGCAGCGCTGCCACGGAAAAACAACCGTCGGCAATACGGCACACGCGCCTGCCGTGGCCTCGTGGACTCTGGCTTCTGGCAGCGCGCAAACCGCTCGGCGTTGAACGATCTCCGCCGACGGGGGGTATCCAGGAACAGTCGGCGGCGGGCAACCTTGAACGCCCTCGCCCACAGAGCTCCCAGGAGTCCTGAGGAGGCTCCAAGAGGCCGCCCCCCCTGGCCTCAAAGAGGCCGCCGAGAAGCCTCGCAGAAGACGCGGAGGAAGAGGAGACCGAATCAGCAACAACTACGCACCGACAGCACGACCGGAAACAGAAAACACATTCATATTCGGAAACAATGTGTATGCATGTAAATACTCGTATATGCATATATATATATATACATATGCATACCTACATACATATGCACATGCCGAGGGCCACTCCTGTGATCTACCTTTCTCTGTTTGCTCATATATTTTATCTCGCTTCAATCGTGCCGCCTGTCTCTTGGACCCCGCGTCCGTCGTCCGAATTACTATTTGCATGTTCGTATTCATCTCAATGTGTTGCGCTTGATTGATCCTCCTTTGTTATGGATCGCAAAAGTGGCCCGTGCATATAGAACAACGCAGGGGTTCCAAAATTCTTTTGCGGCGGATTACAAAAGGATTCATTGTGTGGCGGATTACACATAGGATTCCTGTTGTGACACATTACTCAAGACGCTGGAATAGGGAACGCCTTCTGCTCGGGAGGGGCTTCCACTTCATAGCAACTCTTGGGGCCAATGTTGGGGAACTTGTGGCGGGGCAGTCGTGGTTACATCGTTGATGGCATCAATGGCGCCGCCTGTGAACGGGCGATCACCCCCACCGCCGCCAGGACTGACACGACTACAAACCTGTATCTCGAATCTTATCATGGCGCACCCACCGTCTTCATCGGCAATTTAATCGCCACGTCTGTGGCCACTATATGCACGGGCGCCATCGCCACCATCAATGTAAGTTTGACGGGATACCACCATCACCACCTCCACTGGGGGCAACGACTTTCACGACCACCAGTCATTATCATGACCATCACGCCCACCACCTGAGCTTGCACCGCCGTCAAAACCCTATCTACTTTAGGATACGCAACCTATTGTCTTACATTGTCATACCCGCTTGGTGGGCCACCGCCACCGCCGTCTGCCGCCAACACCTGTGCCGTCATGATCACGGCCACCTGGGAAAATGATGACCACAGTACTGGCGATGAGGATGGGGTGGCGGTCCAGGTGGTGGCGGTGATACTGGCTGTCCAAGTGTTGATGCACAGTGTGGCGGCGGTGGCGTTGGTAACGATGAGGAAAGTAGTACTGTTGGTTCTAGATGTCAGCCATGATGGTGGTGTTTGTTCTAGTGTTCCGATGATGCTGCTGGCGATGGCAATGGCGATGGTGGTGCTGTGATGCGGGTGATCCAGCTGGTAATGGCAATCGTGGCGGCAATGTCAGCGAATGCGTTGGCTTAAGTGGCGATGGCGCTAAGGGTGGTCGTGGAACGGGTGGTGGGGACGCACGGCGTGGCAAATCATGATGGTGATCGCACCCACCCCATCCCACCTTCCACCATCACTGCCACCTGGTCCATCACCACCACCAGTGGCATTTATCCTCACCGTCTGCACCGCCAACAAAGCTTGGAACATCACCGCCACCACCGCTCGGCTAGCAACGACCACCGCCACAATCATTCATCGCGATCACCTCCATTCTTGCCCGGGCAACCAACAGTGAAGCATCGCGGCCCTCTAATTGAATCCTTATGTTGCCTACTGCAGTGGATGGAAGTGAGATCCGTTCGTACAGGCTTACATATGGATTCATATTGGAATTCCGTTGTGGGGTCTTACAAGCTGTTCCATATCAGGTCGGAGACACTTTGAATCCGTGTTGTACAAATGTACACGCTGATTCCTATGTTGCGGCCTTCGAAGGGCATCCTCTGTGGGGTACTACACATTGACCCCTAGTGTGTGGCATACAAATGACATCCGCGCGTATAGGTTTACAACTTGATTCCTGTTGTGCGGCCTTCGGAATCCCTTTGCGCCTGGTTCGGGGGGAGAGACGGCCTGGCCGACTAAAAACACAGAAAAGACAAAACAGACAACCTGGGGAACATCAGACGCTGTAATTTTGTGTTGGTTGATAGCTACTTGTAAACAGGAGACAAAAAAAAACAATCTGGAAACCAAGAACACCAGTACTTTCAGAGTGTCTGGGCATTTACAAATGTGTTATTAGTGGGTGGCCTCGATACATAATTCCTCCGAAGGGCTCTACAAATTGGTTCCTATCGTCTAGGATACACTTGATTGTCAGTTGGCTCCGCTGCGTGTTGATTTGTAGGTTGGTTGTTAATTGCATGGAATAGCCTTACAGACAATCTGGAAGCACGGAAAACATGTGTGCTCACAGTGTTTGGGCATTTACAAATTGATTCCCAGTGTGCAACCATAAAAAGAATCCCTTTGACGGGATCCACAACTTAGTTCTTATTGTTTGCGATACACTT